GTGAGCACATATATATATATATATACACTTACCTATTTATGCACGTGCAATCATAGGACCATACTTGCATGTGTATATATAGACCTACAGACCTACATAAATACCTACATACGTTTCCAGGTACATGCATACGTACCTAAACGCATACGTAGACAAAGGCATACATACGTAGATTAACGCATACATAACACGTAGATCAACACATACATGTGCACACAAGTACAGCATACAAGTGTAGATAAACAGGATAAACACATAATACATACATAAATACATGCAGACGTACATATATACATACATATGTACATGCATGCTGACATACGTACACACAAACGCATGATTACGCAGGTAAAAACATTCATATGCATGCCAAATACATGCACGCCTGCCCAGGACCCGGGGCGGGCCCATGGCCCCGTGAGCCCGTGCGGGCCCGTGGGCCTGCTGCGGGCCCGTTGGTCGTGGTTTGACTGTGTTGTTCCTTGGAAAGGGCGCTTCTCGGTGTCAGCGATCGTCATATTTTTGCGTTCCATGCGGCCTGCCTTCTTCCGGAGCCGTACATTTATTGAATGTTCGTTCTGCAACTCACTGCCTCTCTTCTTCATCTTGCAATTCTCCGAGCACTCCGAGCACAGGCTAGCGAGTTTGTAAAATCATTTGGTCGCCAACGGATCATGCTTTGCCCAGCGAGACATTCGCAACCAGCGACCAGGGTTTGTGCACACGACTGCCGTGTTCAATGCTGTTGCTGCGTTGTGTCTTGCATTTGTTTTAGGCATGGCACCTGTGGCAGCCTGCGCACAGGCCACCGTCCCAGAAGCATATGACGGGGACAGCCAGTGACAGTCTGAGACTAAGGCGCAGGCGACCCAGGCCACTCTGGGGCAAGCGCCTCAGCCGCTGACGTCGGGGCCTCAGCCTCGTCGAAGCGCTGAGTCGCTCGGATTCGCCCGTCACGGCTCAAAGCTCTGCTCTTCAACGTTCCGGTCAAGAAGATCTGAGCTGAGCTTGCCCCTACCTCAATCGTCGTGGGTTTACCCATCGCTGTCTCTAGTGATTATACCGTGACGCCATGGTTTTTAGTTGCTGCGCAATCAAGTGGGCGACCAAGGATCACATGGCCTTTCATTGCATATTGCTACGACATGGAACTCCTGTACCAGAGGAGGAGGATCCGGAGAGACCACTTTCGGACCAGGGGCACAAAGATGCCGACGCTTGGATTTACTGTCAGCTTGTTCATCTCTGTTTCGCAAGTGGCTCTGTGGCTGTCCTCGCGTTGCACAGCCTCTGCAAAAACAAGGAAAGCACAGCCAGCGCTGTTGCTGCATATTTGCAGTCCGTGACAGCGGGCAGAGATGTGCCTTTTGCTGCAGGAGGTATGATTGTTACAAGTGATGATGGCGCTTCCAACTAGGACAAGGATGACGAGGGAGCACCTTTCGGCGAATGACAGTGGTGATGATGGGTGTAGCATTGATGTTGAACTTGAGTTGTTGAGGCCAGTGCTTCTGCTGATGCTGCTTCTGGCGATGATGCTGATGATCACCACTACTAGTACAGCATATGCCGCAAACAGCGAGCTTTTGGAGTAATGACCGAACACGTTACCCAATCAATCGGTTTGGGAGCGTTGAAATTGGCAATGAAGCTTTCACAATGGTGCTTGTATTATACATTGCGACACAAGACGCTAGTATGTACAGTCAGGCGTAGTGCATGTAGATGTAGAACCTATAACGTTGACCTGAAGACTTTTGAACGAAGCCAAAGGCAAAGTAATATTGGGCTCGTCTGCACGACTTTGCTGATGTAAGGATGCCCAAGAAGTGGGATGCCATAGGCGTAGACGGTACAGTTTGACTATTGACATTGCAAGACTACTTGCGCTCGAAGTGGAACACTGCAACAGGTGTTGAGTTTAGATTACTTTCTTCGAAGCCATATTAGAGAAAACATGAATGCAACCATAACATCTATAGTCTACCCACAGTGTAGGTCACGCGACAAGATGCTTGATGACGAGATGGTTACTGTTGCTAGAAATCAAGACCGCTTGTCTACTGCCAGGATTGGGTTTCTTTGCGGAAGCTCTTTGCTTCAGCAGTCTGAGTTTGCATTTCTTTATGCGGGGAGCATTAAACCTTCTGATTCCGGCGCTGATCAAGTGCATAAGATGGCGTTATGTCTACCCCGAACCCATGTATGTTTTAGCTTACAAGCCTAGGCTGTCAGCAAAGTCAGCAACCGTAAAGACATTCAATACTGATCGGAATTCTGTAAACTTGGCCGGTGTTTTGTAATGTGTACTTCAACAATTGGCATCGTATTCTTCGCAAAACAACATTTCACTTTGTGTATCCACCTTCGTTGCATTGAGCGTTTTACCTTCCAATTGAACTGGCTACACACAGCATAGAAGCGGTAAGATCTTTTTACGGTACAGTGGATGCGAATCAGGGTGAGCATCCATGGTTGGTTTACCAACGAATCGTGTCATATAAGTATGTTTACGAGACTTTCCATACCCACCCTAGGATTATGAAATCTATTTAGGGCTACCACAAAATTTTACGAAACGAAGTCACTCCATGCTTGTCATGTGGGCTGCCTGCTAGAACATTCATGGAAACCTGAAGGACACGTGAAGCTGTTAATTTGCAACAATCGGGTTTTCTGTCTATCAACAGCACATCCGATAGACATACCACCGTTAAACGTCTAAAACAGGTCGCTAAACTGACTTGCTGCGAAGGGAATCCCCTTGCCTTGTGGGCATGGGCTTGGTTCGGATTGGAGATTCTGGGTTCCATTCCCCACTTCTGTGTGTAGGTGGGGGGGGGGGGGGGGGGGGNNCGGGGCCGTTGTTGTTTGGCTTTGCTAAATCCTTCCTTCTTCTGTGGGTCTGGGGATATCGAGATCCGTAAACAGACAACAGTCATGAGATAGCAACCCTGAGCCCTGAACGATCCATCTCTGTGACTGTTCATTAAAGTGAGTATCGAGCTCCAAAGCACAACGGCACCCACTAGGATCGCAACGCCAAAGACTGTCGGCACTGTTGACATGGAACATTTCGAAATCACATCTGGAGACGATAACAAAACGTCACGAAGCTTTGCACGACAAGGCACCCATCTGTGTACCTGTTCGCATCTTTGAGACGTCGTCTTGACATCAAGATGCAGAAGCAACGCTACGAGGATTTGAGCCCCAGACGTCTTGATCCCTTTACAGGACCTGTAGGCGCGAGGCAGCATGACAAAACCAAAAGCCTGCGACTGTCGATTCCCGGCTGGCCATCCCACCTGAAGCACAGCGGATGGACGTAGGCTGCGAACGACAGACGCGTGATCAAATGCCATGGAGCATTGAGCGGAAAATGCCGCGGCAAGTGGCAGGAATTTCAAGAACGGCAAATTTTGAAAAACAATTCACAACCTGCGCTGCATGCGCAAGGCCCGCATCATTTCTTTGCCGGTTGCGGTTTTCCGAGCATTATAAGACAGCAAAGCACGAAGAGTCAACTTGCAGAGCAGCAACATCCTAAAGAGCAGATGATCCAGATTTTGAGAAAGTGACTAAGATGGTTGATGGCAAAGAGCACTGTTGCCGTCAGGCCTGTGGAAATGATACTATGTTGGAATCTATGTGGGGAACCTGTGAGAAGCCGTATCGTCAGATACACGAAGAAGTATAATGCAGCTTTTATCGAGGGAACCTTTGCCCAATTCGGGAAGATCATACCGCCTCTGAGATTGTGGATGAGGCAACCGATAATTCCGAGTCTGTTCTTGGAATGGGAAGTAGTAGCGATATATGAGACGCAGGCCCTGCTGCCGAGGCTAGTCTTGTAAAATCGGAATAAATCTGATTGAGGCACGGGGCCGGCTTGAGGCGCCCTTTCCTTTCTTCCCACAGAGTCTCCGTTTCAGGAATTGAGAAACTTCACAAAAACAACTTGCTTGCCGAAAAGGCAGGCGGGACCGCCGCAAGAACGCGATCATTGACTGCAGTCAGGTCTCTGTTTGCAGACTGCGATATTAGTCGAAACTACAGCAAGCCATTTGTGTGGCAGTTGCAACAATGGCTGGAAGACGAAACCATACGCATCCATGCGCATCGGGCTGTGGGGTGTTGTGCAAAGCTCAGACAATCCGTCACGAGGGTAGAAGAGACCCATCCCAGCCAAACAGGGCAGAAGGCCAAGCTGCACTGAAGCGAAAGCGAAAAGGCTGGGGCAAGCCAAGCACCTAGGAAAAGGCAAGAGTTCGGCCAACTCAACCTATCCTCTGTGCTTGCGACTCCTTGAGCACCCTGCCTCCCGATGTTGACTGGACCCACGAGGTCCTTGTTGCACACAGCGGCAAGCTGCGTGCGCGACAGACGGCGGAAGCCGTCATGAAGGCCTTGCTGGCGACCGGTTTTGAGGCGTCTCCAACTCCGGCTGTGTGCTTGCAGTCTTTGCTCTGGACGCCAGTGCCCAGCTTGAAGGCTTCATGTGAAGAACGGGTTGGGCTGAGCCCGAATGATGAGCCGGCGTCATCTTTGGAGCTCCTAGAGTGCGGTCCGACAAAGGTGCTCCTGCCTTGGTATTGTGTCGTTGTAAAGGCTCACTCAAGCTAGGAGGAAAGAGGGCTGAAGCAATGAAATGCAGCCTTTCGTTTCGGTTGGACAGGTGCTCGTGGGCCATCTCCCTCACATGGGAAAGCTTGCCGCGGCGATGATCAAGTCGCCTGCGGCTGCTGGGAGACTTGGTGGACTTTTCCATCCTGTGCCTTGCCTTGGGATTCAAAAACACCCTGCCTCTTGCCTGTCAGTACTATCACAGCACTATCGCATAGCACTCTGCGATGTACTGTCAGGCAGGCGGCTTAGCGCTTCGCCGCGAGAATGCGGACTGGGTCGAGGCTGGGGCCCCCAAAACAAATCCTCACCTGATGACCTGTGTGCTCTTCGATGCCCGGTGCACCGCAAAGGCCGCCGAAGTGGTTTGCGGCGAGCCATGGTGGAATAAAGCAGATGCCTGACTGAGGCAAGTGCGGGCTCAGTGAGTTGCTTTTGTAGCCTAGAAGGATGTGGGAGAGATTTGTCACTGACCCTGCAGGCAGAGGCTGCCGAGTGGTTGCGCGTTTCACTGTCGGTTCAAAGAAGCCCAGCATGCGCAATGAGCACTGCGTGCGCCGTGCAACAGTTTCATTTGTTGGAATGTGTTGTACAGTGATTGCTGGACCGAGGCCGAAAGTTGCAACAATCCGGACGGTGGCCGTGCCCGGAGAGGACCCGATGTCTTTGACAGATTTGCTGACTTCTCTGCAAGTCCACAATCCGAGTCGCTGTGGCAGGAGCGGCGTTCTTCGAGTGTCACTACGCACCGGCAAGTTCTCATGCTGCCCAAGTGCGCCGAGAGCAACTGTTCACGTGAAGGTTGTGGTACTTAACAGCTTAGCAGGCGGCTCAATGACGCGTCCAGCCGCGAGCTTATTTCTGCTGACGCTGTCATGTCGTGAGAGCCGCGGGGCGAGCTTGAGGACCGACCCCGCAACGCGCAACCTTTCCGAGTCGACCAAGCGCCTATGTACGGATCTGAGCACAGACGAGCATACCTGACCGGTTTGTTGGTCTGCCTAACCACCACCCCTTTTGGTATCGTTTGATGTTACATCGACCCAGTCGCCATAAGAGCTGTCAAGGAGCTGCTCTGTTCCTGAGGCGCAGGTCATTGCTCAGTCGCCACCCAGGCCTCTGTCAGGGCTAGACACCGGTGTAAGATGCACACCTGAAAGCCTACATCCGAAGGTCTGAATTGCTTGAATCTCATCGGCTGGGCAGGAGTGCGCCAGAATATGCTGCTGTCATGGCTCCGCGAGGACGCACATGATTAACACACGCGCACACACACACACACGCGCACACGCTGTCCTTGCATAGGACAGTAGCAGTGTCTTGCACTTGTCGAGTCTACGTTGTGCACGATTCGGAATGCCAGGCGACGCAGGATAGCAAAGTGGCTAACAGCTAGAGAAGGATCACACGGAGGGGTTGGAGCCCTCTCTGCTCCTTGGAATCCGCCTGCACAGGCCACAGCCTTCCTGCACCAGCGGGACCGCCGCTCTGCTCTCAGCTCACAGACACGTGGATTCATGAAATTCGGAGCATACTGTGATTTTTCATCCCTGCAGACGTGGGCCTTTCCGAGGCAATCTCACAGGTACCGTCTGCAAGCAGGCCTGCCACTGAGTCCAAGGGATGTGAGAGGCGTCCCAGAGTTTGTGCCAGGTGGACGCTTTGTTTAGGCTGTCGGTGCCTCGGGACCGGACCTTGCAGTGCCTGGCGCTCTATTCTGTCGCTGACATTCCCAAGTCACCGTCGCACGACTCTGAACTCTAGACGTCGGATCGGCATGACTTTCATGAAGCCTCCGCGTGCTGGTCGTCCGCATGACAAGACGAAGATGTAGCTGTTGTTGTCAGCAAACCCCACTCCACAAAGAAAGCGGCCGGATGCCAGGCAGGCAGCTCGGAGTTCTGGAGCAGCAAAGCCATACTCATACTTTCCGGCACACGACTGAAGCGGCACCGTGAGAGGCCAGCATGAGCCGCAGCCTTCGAGGCTGCGGCTTCAGGCAGCGAAGGAGCGGACGCAGAGATCTTGGGAATCTTGGTAGCAGCTGCGGCAAGTGAAGGATGCCCTTCTGGGCTGTTCGACACTGAATTCGCGTCCAAACGCCGATCGTCAGCCTTCCCACAGGCTTGGTTCAAAAATCTGGATGGTGTTCGCTGTGTGCGACAGATCACACATGGCTTGATGAAGCGAATCCTGGATGCAGACCCTTCTTATCTCCCTACCCCGTAACGCGACTACTTGCCACGGCTTAGCTCAGGGGTGAACCGATCTCTGGTCCTCGGCTTTTTGCTCTGGGACATGGCTGTTTCGACTGGAATGACAACCTTCTACTTCATGCACGACAACATCGCAAATCTGGGGCTGGTGAGTGAGCACATTGTGCGCTTGATCGGCATTTTTCGGTTGCCACGCAGCTGCAAGCTTCGTGGAGCCGGTTGCATCCTTGGGTTCAGAAAGGCTCTGAGAAAGTTCACCGTTTCGTGCTTCCACAGGCTAGCAGTTGTCGCGGGGCTTGCTGTGGTCCTGCGGCGAAAGCACCGCCTGGTTCGACTGTTCTTCACCTCGTTCATCCTCAACTGGAGACTCAGGCAAACAAGTAGTTGAGTGGCCAAGTCAGAGGAATTGTATTGGCCGTGCAGGTCGGCTCACAAGCGGTCACCGCTAGAGTTCGTGTGCAGGGAGTTAGCGGCTTGAAGGGACTGAAGGACTGCGCGAAGAGCTAAGGATCGTTCTGGGTGTGCCGCCTGACTCAGTCATAGCGGCCTGATGCATCTGTGGCGGCTGAGCCGCCGCTGCTACGGCATGCCAAGGATTTTCTTGGTTCCGGTGGTTCGACTACAGTGCTCTTGCGTTGATGGCACCTGGGAGCAGTGCAACGCCATGCAAGACTTCTGGGAAACAGGCGGGGGCTGCAAACAAGTATTGCTCTCGAGGTTGAGACTACGGAATCTAGCTACATAGTTACATAGTCGTTTCATCAGCACGGGCTCAAGGACTTGACTCGCTCCGATGCTTCCGTTGTCGGCGCAGTAAGCCGAGCTTGCAGCGATGGGCTCAACGTGCCGCATGCCTTTGCCCAATTAAATCAAGGATCAGTGAAGGAGCTGGTGAATGCTAGGGACAGCAAAGCACGTAGAACGTCGAGCTACGCATTGAAGAGGCTTGAAAAGATACGTGGTTTGAAAGCAAAAAGAGGACGGCCCAGGGACTGTTTACCCCTCGGCTGTTGTTCTTTATCAGACCTCGTGCAAGACTATACTGAGAAGAAGTTCCAAGCAACTTCTGCAAGAGTTATCTTCTCGAGTCAGAGACAGAATCTGTCTTAACAGGCAGGGCACTTACTGATGCGAAGAAATTAACTGGATGTCGGCCAAATCGAATCTGAAGGCCTGCAGACACCAGACATCCTCAAATCGTGTCGTTGCGTTCCTGCAAGGCCTCCACATAAACTTCAAGCCTGCGCCAGAGAAGTGGCAGCTTCGCTGCATTGTCTGAAGCCTTGAGGTGTCCAGGGAGTCAATGTAAGGCTGTTACCTTGTACAATCTTGTAGATTACATGTTGCTCCACCACTGCACCACGTTGTCTGATATTGTGTGGGAGCCAGCTGACACCTTGCAGCAGGTAGATTGTTGCTTCAAGTGCTGTTGCAGGCACTGCATGTAACTTCATGTAATTGTCTCCAGTGCTTTGATTTGAACTGCAACTGCCAGTACTTTGGCGAGTGGATTCGAGGCAAGTCAAGCAAGACGGCCACCTCAACAAGTACATGAAAGCCGCCAAGCCGAATTCGAACTGTTTGCCTTGCCGTTGTGCTTGATGTTGCTCGCGAGCTTGCAGACTTTGCTACGAGGTGCAGCCTATGCCAAAGACAGATCAGGAGAAGACAGACGCATTGACAAAGCTTCTGTTTGCCACATCGGAGGAGCGGCAATCAGAAGTTCTACACTTCTCAAAAAAAAACATGTTTGTGGCTGACATGGGCTGAAAGGACGAGCGACAACTGTAGTGCACACAAATTAAGGGAACCTTACCTTGCAGCATTGCAGATGACCCTGCGGCTTTCGCTGATTTCCCTCCTATGCTGCCTATGCTTGTGATGAGAGCAGCTCGTTCAGAGCTAGGCTGCGCACGCTTCTGCATCTGACCCACCGGTCACCCGGAGAGGATAGCCGCAGCCTTCTGGAGCGCAGAGAACGGAACGAGGCCGGGGGCGGGGGGAGAGAAAGTCACGGAACCAGGAGGGTAAGTGTCAACTTTCCTGGTAATTGAGCGCAGGTCTCCCGCCTGCCGAAGCGACTGCAGGGCCACAAGTCGATGGATCATTTAGGTACGGCCACGGCCAAGCCTAGGAACTGCAGGTCGGACTAACTTGTGTGGCAGGCCAGTCCGCGTCCTTTTGGGCCATCCGACAGAGCCCAACGGCTTTGCTTCAAGCTCACACCAGCGACGATATCCATCTGCATGGAAGCGCCTGGAACAACTTCAGGATACATGACCCCTGGCAGCCACCTTGGGTGTTTCAAAAGCAATAGACGTCTGGATCGAGCCAGCTGTTGGCGGCTTTGTGCGGTTCTCGCCAGCCCATCTTAGGAAGAGGATCCCGACGCAGGGAATGCAAGCTCCTCGCAGAATTCGACCCCTGTTCGATGCGAGGAGCAAATTTTCAAAGGAAAGCAAGGCTGGGCTGGGGGAACGTCCAAACAGGCTCTTCCCGATCCCTTAACCCGACCGCGAGCCAGAAGCAGCACAATCAGGCTGCATCTCGTGAAAGGGAGGGGTCCGAAGAGTCCGAAGATGTCCGAAGACCTTGACATCTGCACGACAGCTAGGACAGAGCAAGACTGGAGGATATAGCCAGTCTGCTAGCCTCGCCGCTGCCCCTTAAGGCAGCTCCTTGATGGAAGAGGCGATGCTCCAGAAGAGTTCTTCTTCGATTAGGAACTCCACGCAATTCGCCAAAATGCTGCTGCGGAAGAGCCTTACGAATCAGCTCATCGACAAGGTCCACGTGACAATGCGGCAGGTGGTGCAAAATCTTCTCAATCAGCCAGAGTTCGAAGCCATCATCTGCGAATATGCCAAACACCATCATGATTTCCATCACAACGTTTCGGCTCCCTGGCTGCTGCTGATGCTACTATGTAGGAGCAGCATACCGGCGGGCTGCATGTTGAATTCTGTGTGCGCTAGCGTGACACTCATCATTGTTGTGTTCTACGTACTCGTCTGGACATCTGAGCTGTAGATTCCGCATGATTCCAATTCGGCGAATGCCAGAGTGCCCTCGCTTTTTTCCCTCGGTAGTCCAGTCCGAAGGTCCAGATGATTCGTGTCTTTGCGAGTTGTTCGCTCATTGAATGGCATTCCACACACATGTGACATGCACGCGTCTTAGGATAAGATCGGCAAACATCGCAAGATGAGGACCAACCGCTACTATTGTCCTTGTCGAGAGGCTGTGACGCTTCATCCCACGTCCCTCCCAATGTGAGTTTGGTCAGCTGCGCCAGGAAACTTACGGGAGCCATGCTGAAGCAAGGAGCTCTGGCGACGGATGAAGAAGAAGAGCAAGGCCTGGCCGAGCTGCCGTTCAAAGCGACAGAGTCCATGTTGGTGTATGTAGAGTCGGGCCATGGAAGATTAGTAGAGACGTTGTCCATCTCGTCAGGGCATGTGCCGGCGGCTGCAAGGACGATGGAGTTGGCCTATCGAAGAATCATGTTTCCGTCGCCATTCGCTGTCTCGACCTTTGCGAAAGGTTCTGGAACTGGTTGATGCAAGGGTGCTTAAAGGGTTCCAGAAGCTTTCATGATTCACAGGTTTTTGTATTTTGTACTCCTGGCTCAGTAGTCTCCAAGCGAGAATGGAGGCAGACTTGCCTGAACTGCAGGACTGTCCAGCAGGGTACCTATCGCTTGCTCCAGTCAGAACTGGAGGGAATGCCCTCGAGGGAAGGCCAAAGCACCACGGTGACATCCGGCGCAGTTGCCTTACATGCTTGATGCAGGCATGCAAAGGCTCAGCGAAATGTACAAGGACGCTTTTTTGGCGAGAACTTTGCAGGGCAACTGGACTGGACCTGCTTTCAATGTTGCAGGAGATATGCCGCTGTGCTGACTTAGACAGCTGCAGGCTAAGTGAACCCGACACTTGGCCGACGTCCAATCTGCTTCCCGCCTTTCGCATCTGGACACGCTGGCACTTTCGAAGCTCAGGATGCTTTCTGGTGTTATGTGGATGAGAGCACGCTTCACGGGTGCAAGGCAGAGGGCATTAAGCTTCGGAAGGATCCAAGCAACAGGAGACTGCACATGTCTGCAGCTTTCAGCTCCGGGGCTTTAGAGACAGAGACAGCGTTTATCAATGCAGTTCGCCGCAGGACTTGGAGTAAAGACCTCTGCGACAAGCGATCATGTGAGCCTGCGGGCCTTGGCATGAAGCCACGCAGCAAAAAGGACAGGAGTGGCCTCGCCCTGCGTGCATGGCAATCGAGAAGCCACGGTGCACTTGTGCCAGGACCTTGATGTGAAGAGACACCACTACCTTGATGACGATAACACGATCATGAGGTATGGATCAGACTGTGATATCTGGAAGCACACAGACCCAATGGAATGGGCAGCTCGGGCAGCGCAAGCTGACGCCCAAAGTTGGGAGGGCCGGGCAGAGAGAGTCGGTGCGCAAGGCATACGTCGGGTTTGACACCACCTGCATCGAGCGAACGTTGCTTGACAAAGTATGGTGTCTTTGTCTGTGCGCCTTAAGTTTGAGCTTTTGGGGATTGTAAGGCGGAGGGTCGTCCCCAAGAACGACTGGCCGGAGGGCCCGCTAAGAGCTCAGCAGATTTTGCTCGAAGTTTGCAGGTTAGTGGATGCGAGAATGCTGGTATCAGACTGCGCAAGTCCCCAAATAAACCTGACAAAGTCGTAGCAAGCTCCACGTGTTGTTTGCTACGTCGAGTCTTCGACGGTCTGTCATAGCCGTCATAGCCATTGCGAGAGCAACTGCCGCATGAGCTAGCCCGGAAAAGCCGGAACAGTGATACTCCAGCACGTGCCAGCAAGGCCGTATATGTTCCTGTCGTGGTCTCTTGGCATGCAGATCGGGGGACGTTGACAGCTACCTCGATAGCGTTTGTCGGCAAGCATGATTTGTACCTGTTGCAGCTGTGTGGAGTTGGCTGAGCTGAGGACGGCGTGTACATCCAATATGCTGTCTGACACGAAGCTACCTGACGGGACGGTAGGAGGCCTGTACCACGTGAAGATTCGGTGCACTTGGTACCAGATGGTGCCCTGGCCTATAGTGACGACCTCGCTCATCGCCGGCCATATGCATGATTCTGTTCTGCTCCATTCATGTCTTCTGCAGGTTGTGGAAACTTTCCTGATTCTCGATTTGATCTTTACGGTTCCCATGATGGCGCTTGTGCTGCATTCCAGAGACCCCCTTGTGCTCAGAAAGCTTCACTGCTTGCATGCTTCCACGCATGGACACAGGTGATCATGTACTATTTCATTGCAAACCGCTGTGCTGACAACTTGGAAGTCGAGCAGCAGTTCGCCCCCGTAGATGACTCGTCCGATTCATCTGACCCTCTGCCGGCACTTTGTGCGCTGATGCCTTGCATTCCCACGATCGTCATCATGTCGCTCCTTGATGAGCTATCTTGAGCAAGACAACCGTGAGCTGTAACACTAGGGCCACTAGAGGGAAGGGCAGGTGTGCAGTTGCATGTGCGACATGGTACAGGAAGAGTTTCAGCCAGAAGCTCCAGACCGCCATGAACATCAAAGACAACATTCCGAACGTCCGCCATCGCAGTCGGGATCAGAGACTCAGGCACGAGTGACTGATGCAGAGGCAGTCTCGTTCCGCATCCATTGATGCGATGTTGTTTGGCCCACGGTTGCCAGGGCATGCTGGAGGCATCATCCAGTGCATGACTTCCATCCAGATTGGTGTTTCTTCACTAACGCAAAGGACTTTCGAGGCAAACTTTCACGTGGCTCTGACACTTCCCATCTTGCGTGGAAAAGAGCGACAGCACTGTGCTCCGAGAGCTGGGGCGATTTGCTCACGGTGACATGCTCCGAGGTCCCCCTCTTGCCAACATGGCTTCGAGAGCCTCACTTAGTTTCCAGCCTTCTTCCTCGGTCCTGTGTGGCGAGAGAAGGAATGCAAACCACACCAGATGCGGACATCAATCCTTGTGTCAGACTGTCAGACAGGATGTAGATGCAAGGCTGGCTATAGGTTTAACGACTGGAGCTGCTGGTTAAAAGCACCGGCGTCCCTTGCAGACATGGCCGTTGTCGACCGAAAAAGGCTTTGGTGCTCGACGTCAGAGCCGCGCTCCGAAGTCGTTTCCTAGAAAGGAAAGACATCCTGAGCGAGGAACAGACTTGCTGAAGTTTAGCTAGTCGTCTTGAGCTTTGTCCCTGTAGCGATCCAAGAGAAACGTATAAAAGCACGTGTTCGCAGAGGGGCTCCGAGATTTGCAGTAAACAGCATCACAAGCCGAGCCAAAATTTACGGCACATTTCCGCATGGGAAACTCAGAAGAGACCGGTCGTCATCGTGTAGAGCTCTGGCGTGGAAGTACTTAGGCATTGGCCACACCAGGAAACTTGTCAGAATGCTGGCACGGCCATTTCCAGTCACGGAAGTAGTCAACAGGTTTCTGCATTCCGTACCTGAGATGAGTGGAATAGCATGAACAGACAGACTAAGGTGAAGGAACTGAATCTTCTAATTGAGAAATCAAACTGTTGAAGACCTTTAAGAGTAGCATTGCTGGCGAGCGCCTATTCCTATGGCATTGTTGACTCCTGAAGAATGCGAGGCCGGACGCGCTCGGATCCTGTGGGCTCAACTTGCGTTGTTTTGCGGATGGTTCTGTTGAGGTCGACGTTTGCGTATTGGGCACCGGCCTCACCGAGAGCTTGGTGGCAGCAGCATTCGCGCGTTTTGGACGCCGGCTGCTCCACTTGGACGCCTCGAGCGCCTACGGTGGCTGCTGGCGCTCACTATCCCTAGCCGAGTGCCCTGTCACCACTGGGTGCCGCTGCGAACCTCGCGTTTTTGTATCGTTAGATTGATTCATTTCGCTGTGCTGGTGTGGCTGCTTAATCTGGGCTTCTTGGGCGTCTTCGAGGTTCGTCCACTGGGCTGGAGGGAGCACGAACTTCGAGACGCCAGTCTCCAAGGCAATCCTGTGACATGAGCATGCCGCCGCAGTCACATATGATATATGCATACTGCTTGTAGGGAAGATGCATGATGCGCACTGTCTGTAAGTTTCCGATATTTTCTGATCGTTCCCGCCCTTTGCCGAATCTGGGCAGGTTTCTGGAGGCGACTTCCGTTCTCTTCCGCCGGAGGCGCGCGCTGGCTCGCTCGTCTCCGCAGCTGCGTTTCAGAAGACTTCGCCAAGGCTTGGAAAGCCATTCATCGGCGATGTACGAAGGCGCCGCTGGGCGCCGAGATCTTTAGACCGAGGCAGGAGCTGCTTGCGGCTGAGTCGATCTGAGTCGTCACCCGTCTGGGCAGGCATGACTTCGAGGAAGAGCCTGAAACTCCTCTTCAAGATGAAGCCCTTGCGAGCGGAGAGATTGCCCTCAGGCTGGCTCCTCATGTGCAGTACGGCTGCTTCGTGGATCGCAGTTTCGAAACCTGCCTTATGATGTAGCCAGCTGCAGCATGCCTTGCCCCCACCCAGCAGACATGAACAGAAGCAGGGACGGAGAGGAGAACATCACTGCCTGGTGATGTCGATTCGGAGCCGAGGAATGGGATCCGTTTGACAAGCTCTCTGACGTAGAGCTTTGCAAAGAGAAGCGGTCCTTGCTGAAGAGCCCTACGTCCTTCAGCAGTTCTGCTGAACTGAAGAGGGTTAGCTCCAGGAGTTCCATGTGAAAGCTTTTGATACATGCTTTTCACCGAGTTGCCTCTGCAGGCCTCGACATTGTGCCACGCTTGCTTTTTGGACGAAGTGACTCCGTGGATGTTCTCGTCGAGTCCGGGGTCGCGAGGCAAGTGTTTTGTCCTGTGCAGTAACGTGGCATGAACAGAAGCAATGTGAGTGGAAGGTACTTGGAGTTCCAGGGCTTGAAGTCTGCCAGAGTCCTGACACCCGAAGGTCTTTTTGCAGTGCCTTTAACCAAGAGCGAAATATTCCAGGATGCTCACTTGAGCAAGCCCGAAAAGAGGACGCTGATGCGATTCATCACTTCCATCCAGCCCTTCGTGGGTAGCCTTTCCTTCCAATCTGCAGCTCAGCTGGGCGTGGATCAGGTCCGCAAGGTAAAGGGCCCAACTGAACTTGACTCCAGCGTTCTGGGAGTTGACCTGCAAGAGCCATGGCATCGCTTCCTGGAGAAGCAACAACTCTCTCAGAGATTGCAGGAGTTCATTACCTATTCCATCTGCCTCTGGGACTGGTCACCACCAGGGTCCTCGTCGAAGTCGACGTCATATCCATGGCCCGAGCTCTCTTGCGGTGAAGCACTTCGACGGCTCGGAAGCTTCGTTTCTTCCCTTGGTATGTATGGCCGTGGCACGAGTATGCCCCTGCTCTATCCCATGTATGGGGTGGCGGAGATTGCACAGGGCTTCACCAGAATGAGCGCACTTCATCGGGGAACTTATGCCTTGCGTACGCGGCCGACACACCTCCTGGCGAAGAAAGATGAACACCAGGGCTGGCAAATGACAGGGGTGGTCACCCATCGCGGTGAAGTAATACGCGCTTCTACGGTAATTGGTTCCTGTGACCACATCACACAAGACGGGGCCTTCGAGCAGGGGTCGGACTCGACAGCTTGCAGACGTGCAACCGTGTTGCTGGATCGTCCACTCCTGGGAGAGGACGGCGTGAACCTATGCGTAGTGCCGCCGAGCTCGTTTGCACCACCCTTGCAGAACGTTGTTCAGGTATTGCAACTTGACTGGAGCACAGGTACTTGCCCCCGAGGCTATTACGTGCATCACCTCTCGCAAGCATGGATTGGGGGAGCTCCTGACGGTGCATTTGTCGACATAGACAAAGTCTTGGAGAGTCTTTTGGCACGATGTGAGGAAGCTACGTGCCTGTTCCGTTGCAGGTACATCCACAAACCAAGGCCCATCCAGCGATGGGGCACCGAGGATTCACCGATGAGGGACTGTAGCGCTGCCGGCAGCCTCGCAGTGGTAGCAGATCCCTCCGCGGTGCCGCAGCTGGTTGTGTCAGATGAAGTAGACGAAGCACGTCAGATTTTCCTTGCATGCCCAGCTGCGGCTGGCGCGCATGCTGATGATTTCTTGCGAAAGCCCGAGCATGTTGCCGAGGAGCATGTGCATATCTGTCATTAAGCATGCAGGGACGGAGCTGGAACTCCTGACGAATCGCATAGGGCTTTCGGTTTGAGAGCCTCGCGAGCTTTTTGTTGGTTTGCTCCGAGCTTCCCAGGAGGAGCGCGGTGGGGTCATGGAAGAGTTGGAGCTCTTCAACGAGCAGATGCAAGAAACCAAGCAAGCTGATACTGAGAAGCTGTGTGCTGGCGAGCCTCAGTGACTTGTTCGAGATTTGGACTATTGCTGCATTTGCTGCCGATTTCTTAGCTCCGTGGTTTATGTGGCTAGTGCTATGACCGTTGGGTGGCACTGCTGCGAGCCTGCGGACAGTGCATGCAATTACAATTCATCGAACATCATCGAACTTCGGGAATCGGTTTCACGGTGAGGAGGTTCTGATCAATGTAGGCTGCTGCAGCTGGCGATTGCAGTTGCTGCAGATCGTCCGCATCATATTCGCTTAATCCAAGTGCGTTGCTTTGGTTCGTGCCTGCGAGTGTCAAGAGCGAAGCTGCAACCGAAGGCCATGATCTGACAAAGCACATCCTCTGATCTCAACATCATGGCGGTCTGGAGAAGAACATCGGCAGGCGGAGGCGCAATTCCCCAGACGCACATCGTCGAACGGCCCAATCGATTCGTGGACAGCCCTAGTACAGAAGAGGTCGATGGTGGCTCAGCACGTGCTTCCTGTGACAAAAGCGCGTAGAATGTTTGAGCAAATGCAACACCATGTTTGGGTGCTTTTAGAGATTTATCTGGAATCCATCTGTCCATTACATCGTAGTCGCAGCCGCACCTGTTGGCTTCATGGACAAGGCTAAGAGTGGTGCTCGCAGATAGAAGATCGTAGCTGATGCAGACTGGAATTCGTTTCCGAACGTACGAAGATACAACTGCGCATTTGCACGAATATGCCTAAGGATATGGGATGTGGTTGTGGGATGGCGGTTTCACTTAGCCCTCGCCTATCCATGTGTGTTGCATTTCTTGGGCAATACGATGACCACGTCGTGTGTTTCATTTCTCGAGAGCATGTTCTTGCCAGCTTCTTCGCTGCGTATGGAGCCCGGGACTGCGCCTGCGCCGCTTGCGCCGCCCCCCCGGCTGCTGCCCTGCTGGAATCCCAGACGAGGCCCGCCAAGCTAAGCTGGAAACGCAGAGAGGCGAGAAGGAAGCAAGAGAGAGAACGTATGGTCGCCCCGAACCCGGGGTCCGCACTTGCGCACGAGGACGGGGAGTAGAAGGAAAGCAGAGAGGGACTCCTGGCAGGGGGTGTGCCCTTCTGACACGGTGAAAGAATCAGAAAGATGCTCCTTGGTATCCAGAACAACTGGAGTCAAGCACCTCAAGAAAAACACGGCGCTCAGTTGAAAGACAGACGTTCGGTCACCTCTCCCTCGGTGTCGCTCTGCCCGGCACTGAAGAAAAGACTACTGCCCTCAAGCACGAAGTGAGCAAGAAGCGAAAGACATGAGCCAAACTCCAAACCAGTCCCCGCCAGTTCGCGGCCTCAACGTCCGACAGCTCCCAGCTACCAGGGCGAGTCGGCGGGGAACAAGCTGGGGGCAGGGCGCAAGGATGGGTGGTTTGAGGAAACTTGGTTTCTGCAAGCGAGGCTCTCTGAGCTTAACCCAGTTCTCAAGAGGGTAAGGGCGGCTGCTCGCAGGACCCGGTTGCTTGCAGCCACTGCGCTGGCACTGCGCTTGCTAGTCGGATTATGCCTTGCTCCGGAAGACATCGCGATAAAGCTTGACAGTACCTTGTCTTCATTGGTGGCAGCGCCTCCTTTCGTTTATTTCTGGTTCATGTATTGCTGCCAGCCCTCTCCATGCTCAGGCAGATCAATCTCCGACATACTGCTGGGCCGTTTCGTCACAATGCGAGTGAACCTGAAACGCGCCGGCAGATGGCTGCACATGCAACAGGCCGAGGTAGAGTGCAAGCTTGTCGCCCAGCTGCACTTTGAAACTTTCCCGACCGACGTTTGCCGGGTATCGGGGCATACTAGACACTAGCAACAGTACCGAGAGCCACCAAACCCACGGGGGTTTTCTTTCAGGTGAACCTGGGCATGAATCCCATTTTTTGGCTACTGATGCCGTTAACACTGGTTCTTCGACCAAAACTGGCGCTGATTGGTCTCATTTTGGTGTACATACTTCCACGTGGAGCACAGCGGGAAAGTTCTGCGACCCGCTTCACTGCCAGCCTGTCTGCAGAAGATCTGTGGAGTTGCTCCTTGGCGGCTCATGGCTCGTGTGGCGAGCATGTTCACAGCACCTAGCCGCCCAGCCTGACTGAACTCGGCACGGTCAGGCCGTTTGTGGAGAGCTGTGGTCACGGCCGGGCTGCGAGACATCATGAACTACAGCATTGCAGGCCATCCAGGAGTTTCTGCTTGCTGCTTCTGCCCACAATGTCAACTCCGAGGAATGGTGGCACTGCCTCGAGAAGTTTCGGGAGAGCTTTCCACAGCCACGTCTTTCGAGGTGAAAAGCCTCGAGGCCATCTTGAAACATTCACAGTGCGCCTGATTGCTTCTGTGTTCGCTCGAACGCAGGTCTCAAAGTCTTGCCTCATCATGGACGCAGTTGCTAACCTTCCCGGCGAGACAGTGTTCCAATATCGCTTGAAGATGCCTGTCTCAAGAGTCTCTGCCGGTTCATTTGCAGATGGACTGGCCCTCTACCCGGCAACTGCCCCAAAGCGATGCCGAGCAGCCTTGAAGTCAACACTTTCGCTGAGGACGGGTGTATCCCTCGGAGAGGTCGACGGGTGTCAATGCATCATCTGGGATGACCCCTGCATCGAGGCCTGCAACCCATCCCCCCTCTCCCCCTGTCTGCCGGCGAAAAGGCGACTCTGCGCAGACTCAGGATGAGACTGCCCACACAAGAGCACAGCGTCGAGAAGCGAGGTCTTGTCTTGGTAGTTTGAATAGGTTGACCGCGAGGGGGTCGAAACGCATCGGTATTGAACATTGTAACATGGCATTCTTGCTCATCACACCCTTAACAAATTTTAAATAACTGTTTTCTTATGATGATGAATATGAGTATGATGGCGATGAATGTACCTGTTATTGTTCAAGCGGCTTTTGCTATTGATGATTGCGGTGATCATCATCATCATCATCATCATCATCATCTTGCTCATCACCATCATCATCGTCATCATCAGCATCATCATCACCCTGATCCTGTTCCTGATCCTCAATCTCCTCCTACTCATCATTAGAGGGGCGAGGCAAGAAGGAAAGAACAAGCATGCGAGCGTAGATCTCCAAAAAAGGAAAAAGCTTTTGGACGACCATGAGGACCATGACCATGACGACCATGGCGACCACGACCGCCAGGACCACCACGACGACGACCACGACAAGCAGGAAACCACCAGCAAACCACCAGACCACCAGGAGACGCCAGACTTCGGCCTTCTCCCGAGTAATGGCTCGATTCAGGTGCAAGGCCACAAGGCTTCGCGCAAGTACTCGCGCGATTCACACTTGCGACCCAAATGCCTTCCCCAGGTACTGGCGGGATTCGGGAGGCTTCGGGAGTGCGGCCAGAACCAGTAGCACTGCGCTCGTGCTTCCACCCATAAACCTGGCGGGACGGGCAACATGCCTTCTCCAAGTATGGTGCCTCATGATGCAAGATTTTCGAGACCAAAACGTGGCCCATGTATTATGAATTTCGATCAATCTGTTGCGGTTCAAGGATCCTATGTAAATAATGGGATGCGGGCACAAACTTTGCATGGTGCCATACCAGGAGCCGTGTCCAGTTAAACGTTGTCTGCAGCGCCGCGCCGACATGTTGGCCAAGCCTCTAATCTTAACGTTAAAATTCACGAACCTGTTTTGTCCTTCCCGCAGCTTTACACCATGCAACCAGGCCAGCATGGAAAAACAAGTATGAAACAAAGCACCGCGATGCACAGAAAACAATACCACAAATGCTCCAAACCCCAGCTGTTTCGTCACCCAGCACTTGCACTAGACCTTTACTTCGACGTAATCAGAGCACTTCGCGCAATCTGACCTGTGCCATGCAAGCTGAGGCAAGCTGCGCATGCATCCTTGTCATTGTCGGCTTCTCTTGAGACTGGCGCAAAATGGCTCAGAGACAGAACAGACACACAGACACACACCTCCACACCCCACCACCACACCTCTGCACACACTCACTCACGCACACACACACACAGACAGAGACAGACACAGACAGACACACACACACACACACGCACAAATGCACACACACGGGCACGCATGCTCACTCGCACGCACGCAAGCAACACTACAGAATATCAGAACACGAAGCGACAGAGACTCGTACTCGTAGATGTGTGTTGCCAGGTTGCGCGAACACTTGTTGTGTTAAGCACACAGTGAAGGTGACGCCCGGCTGGCCGTTGCCGCAGTTCTGGGCACCGATAGGAAGCTTCGCCGGCCTTGGATTGACCGACAAGCTGAGATTCTCACGCCTCGAATTTCTGTCAGTTAGTTCCTCAGTTCTGGCTTGGTGTGGCCACAAAAGCTGCAGATCTTGCTTGGGCTCGTGTACTAGTCATCGCTAGTTTGAGCGTTTCATACTTTGAGGATGGACGTCTGGTGCTGGAAGGGCGAGTTGCCGGAGAAGGCCCTTTCAAGCTTCAAACCCCGTGGATCCCTGCGAAGAGCAAGCGATTTCAGTTTCTGTGTACAAGCCACTTTGCGGAAGGAGACCGCCGGGCCATCATCCCTGTTTAGTACCACAGGGATGTGGGAGCCTCACGGAGATTCGTGCTTCGCGCTGCATCGAAAAGAACATTTTCCAGTCGCGAGCGTCGCAAGTCTTTTCCGGAGCATGTGACAAAGACTGACTGATCAGAATAGGTTACCTGCACCATGAGTCACGTCCGCACACGGTGCTGTGTTATGCTCAAGTTGGAAATAAATTCATTCCATTGTGCTGCCCAGAGTCAGGGCAGTGATGCTCGAAGCTGAGCATGGGAGTCTTCAGACTGAAGCCGTGATCCCTGGAGCTGCGAAGTTTGCGTTTGCACAAGGCATGAACTCGGCAGCGCATGGAGCGGCCGGAGGTGCAGCGCCTTGCCGTTAGGGTTCGGCTGAGAGCCACCGGACGCATCAGGTCGAGGCAGTGTCTTCCAGCGCGATATCCTTTGTGAGCCAGGCCTTAGAAAGCTGTGCGCCCAAGAGCCGGTTGGCAGAATCCAGAATGAAAGCACAGCAGATGAGGTCTAGTCCACCTTGGCAGGCGAAGTTGGCATTCGAGTACTCCTTGAAGAATCTGCTTTGGAAGCAAGCAGTGCCAGACCCGGCTCAGACTACTTCATTATGAAGAACATAGACATACGTACGCATGTTTGATGTACGCGCAACATACTGTGGACAAAGTGAGGAGGTAGTTTTCTTGGCGTTCTGGCTTCCAGGCATTCTATGCTGAGAGGCTCGTGGCCGAGCGCCCTTGTGACGAAACGCCTTTGCCTGAGCTCTTGCAGCCCGCTGTGGACATGTGCAATTGCGAATCTCTCAGCCACGCTGGCTGCGTTCTCCAAGGACGTACCTGCTGGGATTGGCATACTTCCACAATCAGGAGCTTCCTTGTTTCCATCTTTATTCATGCAATTTGATTGACTAAGGCTTGCTTGTTGGGTGGTTCCGAGTGTCCCCAGATTGCATGGCCGCTCATATTGCAGTTTCGACGAAGGTACCGACCGATGTTAGGCATCACGTGGCGTGAAGTTTGGTCATGTTGGTCTGCAGGAGCAGCCCCAACAAGAGCCCTGTACTCATCCAATATAGCAGTGGCCCTCTTGAGAACATGTGAGCCATTATGGTTGGAGTAGGTGTGGGGCTGGAGTTCGAAAACCTGACAGGCCTGGGAACACTCAACACAGGTTCACTTCAGACCATTCCAGAGAGTCAGCTGATAAACGGCATCTTGCCCTTCTTGGGAGCTTCAATGCGGTAGCAACGTCACTCTTCCTGTAGCCTTCCTGTACTACTTGTGACTGAAATGGGTATACAGACCCATGCAGCTCCTTGTACCCATGCCTGTCTCCACGTCAATTGGTACCTTCTGGGATAGTCAGCGGTCAGACCTGCATTCAGGCACAAGCAGGTTTTTGTTCGAGCAGCAGCAGTAGCAGCAGCAGCAGCAGCAACAACAACAACAGTTTTGGTCGAGAGTTCGAGCATCGGGTACACTTCAGGCTCGCTCAGCAGGTACATTGTGAGAGTCAAATTGATAACTTCATTTGATGCATGTCCGGGCCTATCAAGGAGCTAGCCAGGGCGCAGTGGCATCTGCAGGCGGTGGAAGCTTTCTGCGATGCACGTCGTTGCACGAATCTGCCAGGGAAACAAGCTTCCCGAAGCGAGGCCTCTCGATGTCCTCGCAGGTCACACTATCTTGTGATCACGTAGCTTGCATTCAGGTACCTGCTTGCGAAATGCTGCTCGCAACTGAAGCGCTCGATTCTGATTTGATGCCTTAAAGAGACCTTGCTCTCTTCGCTGCCCTTCGCCGTGCTTTCAGGTTGGGACCTGGCCGAGGATGCGCTGCTGCCTTCCAGCGCGGGAGGTCCAAAGGGCCGGAGCTCTGGGCGCTCTACTCTCTCCTCCTTTCTTGACGCCGTGGACGTCTCTGGGAGTGTCTGGACGGAGGCAATCTGAACGAGGTGGTCAATGGCGCTGCAGGCCTCTTCCTCCTTGGTCAGGCACTCCGCAGCTCCCTGTGCCAAAAGCGAAGAGAGATCGAGATTTCTGGATCCAGCCAATCCTCGACACCACCAAGTTGATGCCGGTTATGGTGGCACGTGTCGCAGGGGAGAAAAACTCGATCGCTTGAAACCAAAATTATTCAAGATGACCCGAAGACAGAGCATCTTTTTGGAGGTCCAGGAGAGACAAGGCCGACGAGAACAAGCAGTCGAGTGCTACTTCAGGTGTTTGCAGGAATGCCCCTTCATGCATGCTCGGCCTGTTTGCCGTGAAAGGACCGTTGCTCGAGGTGTTGGACATCCATGTTCCATGCCTTGCCGCATGTCAGGTGGGAGGCCTACGAACGTTGGTCTTGGCTCGTGCCAGAAGCTGAATCATGGCGAGCCTTTTTGCTGTATTCCTGACTCCCTGACTTTCCAGATTGCTGAAAGGTTGGGGTCACCCTCGCCCTCGTTGGAAGCTCTGTGGTACCTGGTAGCTGCATGTGCTGTTCCGGTGCTCTTCCCATGTCACCATCGTTCGTTCCTCGAAAGCAGTGGGACAGAAGCATGCTTAAGGCGCTCGTCAACTGCTGGAGTCGCATCTTCGACCTTCAGGCCGGATGGATATGTGACGTGCAGCTGAGTCGTGTGTGTTGGGTGGCCAAGAGTTCTGCCCGTCAGTGACCAGAAGCTTGCGCAGACAGCTGCTGCAGTGGGCTCCAGCAGGGAGGCACCCAAACCAGGGAGACATGTGGAGGTGCTTGCATCAATTGCAGTGTGTACACACCTGCTGTGCCAGGCAGGCGTGAGTGTGTCCCCCGCACCTTTGCGAACTGCAGGCATGTGCTCATGAATGTGATGAGGGCCGGTTGAAGACTCACGAAGCATTCAGGAGGGATGTGTTTTCGCTGTGTCACGATTCAACGACGGGTGTGGCGAAAGGGCCTTGCAGCAGCGCCCTTGCAGTCACGTTCCAAACCAAACATGACCCCGGGAATCTTCAGTCGTGTGCAAGGACATGGCATTGAGCGCACGTGGCATCCTCAGGGGTGTGAAGGTCTTTTGAGGGCTTTAGCCACTTGACTTCTCTGACATGTGCCACCGCGGCTCCGCAACACTTTCGGTTCCTAGAGGGCTGCCAGCCAGCAGCCTGAGTGTTTCACAAACATGACATGACGGAATGAGCTCCGTTTCACCTTCAGCCGATCCAGAGTTGCCCTTGCCGCCCGACGAGCAAGATGCAGACTGCGAAGCCTGCACAAACACAGACGGCTCGATGGGTCCAGGTGTCCTGGCGGGACTTTAAGACTTTAAGGCCCCATTGCATGCGATGGCATCCGGGCAGGAGGGCATGTGTCCGAGGCTGGGGCGATGCATCTGCACTTCCTCTTCCGACACGGAGGATAACCAAAAGCCACAAGTTCCTGGACCTAGCACTTGGCGTCCCAGATGTTTGTATTTGCAAAGATGTCTGCGTCAAATGCCGAACAGCTCGTCTTAGCAGTCTGCATTGCTTGTTCGAATGTGCTGAAGTGGCGTGAGGTTTGTTCCGCTGAGCCGTCCAGTTGGTATGGTGGATTTGGGGAGGGATCCTTTGCCTTACACGAACTGCGGGAGCTGCGCATGCAGCAGCTTGTGTAGAGGCGATGGCTACCATGCTCCCCGGCAACACAGCAAGTGCACGTGGCATGCAGATTGTCCCCTGGCAGTGCCGAGGATTTCACGCAAACTCTCAGTACTGAAAGGGGCTCAGTGATGCCGACGAGCTCAGACCAGGAAGCCCGTGCACGTTTGGCATTTAGCAAGATGAACGGAGTAGAAATTTGGAGATTTAAGCAGCAGGCTGCACTTTACTTCTGAGACGTTGAAAGCAGCTCTTTTCCTTTGGTCCTGCCTGAGAGGAACAGGATGCGTGGGCATCCCAAGAGTTCATCGAGTCCCGGAATCTTGTGTCGGCAGTCGGCGAAAGTGTCAGGCCTTGCATTTCAGATACTGTCGGATGCCGAACTCTTGCGATCATGCGGTTCCCAACCCTTCGCGGCAAGAACTGAGTTGTAATTTCAATTCTGGGTCTGTTCAGCTGAACATTCCAGTCTTGCTGGAAGCCTGCAGAGAGGGATTAGTGAAGGTGCTGCATACCCCTCTCTTTCATTGCGTGACCTGCCTCTCCAGGCAGTCGCGCAAGTCCATCAGTTTCCACCAAGAGCACATAGCAAACCTCACAGGCTGGAGAGGAACTTGTTGCCACATGTTTCTGTATTGATTGCAGCTGTTGCAAGTATTGCTGCCGCAGCCTGGGCCAGGTGATGAAGAGGAGTTTGCGGGCCATGTCCTGCGTGCCTCCAAAGGAGGAGCAGACGTGGTGTCCGAGCTGTGCAGCGGAATCGAAGAGGCAATGCGACCGACTCAGATAGATGAGATACCCAGCAATGCGCAGACATGCAGCCAGGCCAGGCTGAGTTCCCTCTCTTCCGAGGTCCGACATAGAAGACTACCGATCCCAGCTTGCAACTATCTGCGTCAACGTGCGAAGTGCTGAGCACATTCGCCCGAGCGTCGTCCGAGAGAGCTGGGATGAGCTCCCCGATGAGACTGCAGCAGAAGGCAGCTCCGTTAGCCCTCGCCAGATGCACGTTCTTCCGATGTTGTGCTGGCGAGTTTGCTGTTCTGCCTTGTTTGGCTCGTTTCCTTTGCAGGTGCTGCGGCGAGCAGCCACCAGGCCCTAGCCGGATTGGGTTGGGTCTCTAAGTCGCTGAAGTCGATCAGCAGACATGACCGACTGGAGCACAACAGTGTGCACTTCCTTGGTAGGTGCTGCTGCCGGCACAGAAAAGCGTGACTTTTCCATTACCTGCAGACGATGATGATGATGAGGTTCTGGTCCAGCTGTTGCTTTCGAAATGGCCGGTCCAGTGCAATGTAGGAAACCTGCCAGGGTGTGTTAAATGCTAAGCAGCAATCAGCTCAAACGAAGTCCACCTCACAGGCAACTGGCAGAATGGGCATCAACGCCCAGGCCAGAAGTAGCCGTCTCTGCACACGGCATCGTTGCTTGTGTGCTAGGTGCTGAGCGAGCGGCCGGCCCTTACAGGCATGGTGGTGGGTTGATGCTCCACTGCTCTTCTGCTTCCTTGTGATTGCAGGCAGCGGAGATCTCCCGACCGAGCTGGAAACAAGACGGCACAGCAGCTCGTTCGCTCCGGCAAGTTTCATGGCCGCACAAAGCAGTCTGGAGTTGAAACTTTGTGCGTTGCATGAAGGCTTTTGCATCGGCTGACCTCTCATAACCTTGCCGCTAAGCCCAGGCTATCACCGGATAAAGCATCTGACCCGGCCTCAGCTCCACAAAGACAAAAAAACCCCACCCACCCCCCCACCCACACACACACACACACACACAGACAGACAGACAGACAGACAGAGACAGACACAGACACAGACACAGACACACAGACAGAGACAGACACAGACACACAGACAGAGACAGACACAGACACACAGACAGAGACAGACACAGACAGACAGACAGACAGACAGACAGACAGGAACATGGGCGCCTGAATTCCTGGAGGGTCCGTTTCGGAGTGCCTGGGGCTGAGGATCCGGTCGGGCTCGAGGATCTCGGACCTGGGACGGGCCACTGCCAAAGGCGTTCTAAGATCTTGAAAGCCTGTAAGCCTAGAGAATGCAAGTAGCACAAAAGTTTGGAGGCAAAGCAAAGCTTAGGCTTAGATTCTGTAGGTGCTCTGGCCCTACTTCGCTTTGCCGTTGCAGGTCCTTTTAAATGGTCGGTTTTCTTTACGCGGATTGTCCAGTCGCCCACGTTTGACTTGATCTTCGTCTGCGGCTGAGCAACGAGCTACGCATTCCTGTGTCGGCGTTTCGGTGGGCAACCATGGCAACTGTCGAACTGTTGGCAAGGCAGTTCTCATCGTGCTCAGCAGCATTGATCGCGCCTCAAGAACTATACGGTAATGGTGATTGCTAACCGGTCACAAGCATGAAAAGCCGGAACATTGGATTCTCGCTCAGGTTATGTCTCTACAGGTGCAGTTTCATGGCTTGGATGTTGGTGGCGTGGCTTGATAGAGACGCAAACTCCAGTGTGGAGTTTCACGGAGAGCGAGTGAGATGTGAGCCCGGGAGCGTTTTTGGAGGCTACGGCATGGCTTACTTTGGCATGACGGTGCCTGCCGAAGAGCTCTGGCCGGATGCCATGGTGGTCTTCGACGTCATCGAGCTGATCCTTGGAGTCATCTTCGCTTTCGATCCTGAACTGCACTTCAATTGCCATCTCGCTCCGAGGTCCTAGGCCACCAGGAGCTCAGACGGGTAGATCCATACAGCCATGCCCACGGTGTAAGCCCGCCCAAGGAAATCGTAGCGAGAATGCTGGCTGCTCACTGCCGATTCTTCTGTGACCTGTGGAACATAGTTGATCTGCGCGAAACTCAGAACGTCTACTTGTCATTGAGTGTGCAGCGGAATCTCCAGTGAGAAGTCGTTAGCGCCATTCTTCCAAGGTGTGTTGTGATAGCCTGGGCGGCGACTGGGCTGCATGGAGCCTCCGTGAGCTACATGCGCAGTAGCAAACGGCGCTCACGGGAGTTCCTGCCACTAAATGCGCGGAAACTCCGGGAGTCAACGGCCAGCAGGTAGATACGGCAACGTCTGCGACATTGCCGGTCGACCCTATGCTTCTGCGATTGGCACGACTGGTGAAGTTATTCCGCTTGGTGCGTCTAATCAGGCCATTTCTGTCAACTGTCGAATATATTCCTTTGGTACTTGAGCTTTCTGCACAGGAAGGTGAAAGGCTTCGATTCGCTCTACATCATGGTCCGGGGCTTGGGTTGCCTTGAGATGAAAGTGACGAGGTCCACAAAGCCGTTGCCCAAGGTCACTTCAATCAAAGCGAGCTTCTCCGCACTCCTTTGGTCTACTGTTCTTCTCTTTGCAGTGCTCACGAGCCCTTTCTGAGAGTGCATGTTGTTTGGTGCAATACTGTAGCTCTAGCTGACTCTAGCTCTTTTATTGAAATGCATTCACATCTATTGACTGAGGACAATTGCTCTGGTTCTGACAACCCTCGTGGAAGTGTACATTACCGACGAGAGCAACCCCATCGAAAGGAGGATGGAGGTCTTCGCATACTATGGCACCTTCACCCGCTGTTCTCTGCTGTTTGGCGGCACTGGGAGCGCCGGCATGCGGCGTCATTAGGGGATTTGAAGCTTCGAAAGTGGATCGGAGAAGTCCAAGGGCTTTTTGACTAAGCTTCGCAAGCGATCGAGATTGAGTAGGCTTCCCACCCTAGGCGATAGAGAGGGCAAGACTGGAATAGACGAAGAAGGCAGAGAGTCAATGAAGGCCCAACTTTCAATGTGCTTGCCGCCACCGGTGAGCCCAGCGCCTTGCAAAGAACGTAGGTGGTGCCTCCGTTGTGGCCAAGGACGCTTCTTGAGCTGACCTTGGCTAACTGGGTCCCGGCCTCTCGCATACTGACGGTCGCTTGCTGTGGAAAAGGAATTCTATTCAGAGTCTCTCTGTTCTTCTTCGACCGGTAGGGCAGATGCCCACAGGAGTCATGCTATTGATTGACAGGCCTCCTAGAGCAGTAAGGTGGCAGCCTTTGGTAGTTTGGCGTCTGGCAGGAAATGTAAGACCGATAATCTGCAGAAGCCTCGGACTGCAAATGTAAGCTCACGTTTGCCTCGGCACTCGAGGAATATGTCAGTGAGTACTACACCATCTTTGTGCTGGCATTTCAAGCATCCATGGGTTTTTCAGTGGTGAAGGCACCTCGGCTCTTTGTCTCGTCGCCGGTGAAATTCTTCATGTGGATAGCATTTACTTCATGTTCCGTCCATCTCTCGATGTTTTTGAGAATCTCCTTCTCGATCAAGGTCATTATGGGCGTTTTCCTGCAGAACACGTTTGCGGTAGCTGCCAACGATGATGTGTGCTCTAGCAGCACGCAGCATGATGAGTCTAGCATGTTGAGTTTGGAGCGAATTGCTTGCGGCTCGAGCAC